TGTGTGTGTGTGTGTGTGTGTGTGTATGTATGTATGTATGTGTATATATATATATATATATATATATATATATATGTAATAGAAATCTATACAGTTAGTAAACAAAATCCATTGATACGCTAATCATACAAAATATGTATTATTTTTATTTGTGTAATATTCAGTTTTCAGTCTCTGGGTCCAGCTTACCATTTTCCCAATTGAGGAACTTCAAGGGGGAATTGTCAGACCACTGCCAGCCCCCATTGAGGTCCAAATCATTAAGCCCAATCCAGAGTGTGGAACCGTATCCTGTCAGCAGTCCTGGTATAGTCAGAGAAAGATAGAAAGTCACAGAATCAGATCTTCTACCATAAGTCATCCTAAGACAGTGATGACGAACCTATGGCACGTGTGCCAGAGGCGGCACTTAGACCCCTCTCTGTGGGTACGTGCACCATTGCCTCAGCCCCACTTCCCCCTGTGGCCCCCTTCTCATCAGCAGGCCCCCCCAAAGGAGAGTCGCCCTCGAGCACAGCCCGCACAGAGCCATGGACATGGCAACCAGGCAGCAGGGACAAGACTATGCCCTCGCACCCCGTCGCATGCAGTTGATGCTACAGGGCGCAGGTGTAGCTGCCATGGCACTGCTGGGCCACCTGGGCAATCGGCAGGCTGTGGAGATGGTGGCTGGCCCTGCGGGTGAGCAGAGCAGGGGGCGGAGCACGGCAGGGGGTGGCACGGGGGTGTAAGGTGGGGGCGGGGAGGTTTTTGGGCACTCGGTCTCTAAAAGGTTCGCCATCACTGTCCTAAGCCATAATGGCACCTAACAACATTCTTTTCTACACATTCTTGTTAAACCATGGTAATAGTCAATTACCCATTACACACCAAGCATAAACTAGTCTTCTCTGAATCTCTTCTCTTCTGAGCCATCCATTTGCAGTGAACAGCTTTCTTTTACAATATTCATATTGCATATTCAAATATTTTATATATAAGTATATAATGATACTTTCTCTGTATTGATATTCATTCTATCAAAATACTGAAGAACACCCAACAAACAACCACTATTGGAAGGCTTATGTTAGTCATATAGTTATGAAAGAATGGTAAACATATCAGTCTGCAGAGCAAAACATTTTTCCATCCCGCTTACTAAGAGAACCTGTTTCAAATATAGATTTCCAATGCTTACCATTGATGTAGGTCTGTTCATGAATTGCAGTGATACTAAGCAAGCTGGCTCCCTGCTGCTCACAACTCTTTCCGGCCTCCTGCCAAGACAGGGTGGACTGGAAGTTAAACTGATAGCAGCTATTGGTGAGTTGGTCTCTATCCCAAAATGTATCACAGTCATTGCCTACAAGGGCAGGACAAAAAGGAAGTTACTTCAAGTTAACACAATAAGTCATCACCTTAGTTAGCAAATGGATTCAAACCAGTTATACATTCATTCTACAGCTTTTTAAGTTGTGTGACCAGGGTTGCCTACGGAATAATCATGTGAAAAAAGAAAAGAAGATAATGCAAGGTGGATTGAGAAGACACAATGCAATCTAGTTTTCATAAAGATTGCAGCAACTGCATAGAAGGATACATTTCTTGAATGCTGAATTTGATATTAAGCTTTCATTGTTATCATAAGACATATAGGTAGTCCTTGCTTAACAACCCTAATTTGTCCCAGAACTTCTGTTACTAAGCAAACGGGTGATTAGGGAAAACTTCATGGGCCTGCACTGCTTAGGAATTGTTTTGGTAATCCTGGTTATAGTCATTAAGCAAGAACTGGTGCCATTTTTAGGCAAGAACTACATGCTTCTCCTGGCCTGCAGGAATTGCTGTCTCTGTCCTACTGCATTCTCCTCTGCCAGGCTCGGTGAGCATCCTTCTGCAGACAGGCTCTTCCCTCCTACCACGGTTGCCTCCAACTCCCCCCCCCTTCACCCCCTCATCTCTGTCCTTTTGGCCACCTTGCACTCCGCTATCACCATCCGCTATTTGCTTGCCATTCCCAGCTGCATCCAGCTGACCTTCGTCCCTGCTAAAGATGCTGCTGGCCTCTGTGACATGACACCTCAGGAGACCTAAAGGAAGGAAGGGGATGGGCAGTGAAGTGGGAAGCAGAAGGGCAGCAGAGAGGCAGGGGTGGCAGAGTGTAAGGCAGCCAAAAGGCAGGAACAAGAGGAAGATTGATGGGCGACAGGAGTTGTATGCTGTGATCATAAATGCATTCTGCCAAATGCCCAAATTTTGATCATGTGACGGTAGAGATGCTGCAATGGTTGTAACTGTGAGGACTGGTAATATAATTACCATTTGTTCAATGTTGTCATGACTCAGAACAGTTGCTGAACAAATGATCATTAAGTAAGGACTACAATAAGAGTTCAGTTGGAATAGAGATTAAAAAGTAAGACTCTAATCAATCTTCACATTTATCACCTTGGCAAGTCTGTAAACCAATGGAAAATTGAAATAAGATTGTAAGCACAGTTGCAGTTTCATTTAGTGGTTGCTTCAATTAGCAACCAAGTTTCCATTTCCAATTGCAGTAATAAATAACAATTATAGGTAGCCCTTGACTTACAATCATTCACCTAGTGACCATTCAATGTTACAATGGCACTGAAAAAAGTGACTTATGACTGGTTTTCACACCACCTTTACAGCATCCCCATGGTCATGTGATCAAAATTTGGGCATGTACGTATGACAGTTGCAGTATCTCAGGTCATGTGATAACCATTCGTAACCTTCCATGCTGGTTTCTGACAAAATAATGAAGGAAGACCGATTTCCTTAACAACTGCATGGTTCACATAACAACTACTGTGATTCATTTAACAACTTTGGGGAAAAGATTGTAAAATGGGGTGCAACTCACTTAACAACTGTCTTGTTTTAGCAATGGAAATTTTGGGCTGAACTGTAAGTTTACCTGTATATACATATGCATTTATACACACATCCTGTGTCTATATAAATACCATTTTTCTATGTGTTCCATGACAAAAGTACTTAAACTCAGACCATACCGCTAAATCTGTATCAAATGTATTTCATTGTTCTAGTTATTAAGGGGAAGAATCAGACATATAATGCAGGAAAAGAAAGCAAGTGCTAGAGAAAAATGTATACATATAATCTGAACCTAGTTACAAAGTAGCAATTAAAGGCAGGAAGCAGTGCTTTTTTTCTAAAAAAAAAAAAAAAAGTGCCGGAACTCACACACATCATATAACCCGCCTTGCCTACTCTACAAGGTTCCATCCAGAAAAGGTCCCGGGACTCCGTTCTGGGCATTCTATGAGAAAAAAAGCCCTGGCAGGAAGTATAGGAAAATAATGTAGGTAGTTAAGTTGACAGGAGGGTGAGAGGAAAGAGTAATAAGAAGAACCAGGAAAAATCTATAAAGATTTTTCAGTAGCAGAATTATTCAGGAAATCATAGCCCTAAGTCTTAGGAGCTTAGCTGTGAAAAAGAGAAACTCTTTTGGAATAAAAACTCTTGTAGAATCTAGCAAAAAAAAAAAAGAAGAACCCATTTAACTCAACTGCACATAGTCACCACTTTATTCTTATGAAAGTATTAGCCTTGGGCAGGGGTAGACAACCTTGCTCTTTTATGACTCGTGGACTTCAACTCCCAGAATTCCTGAGCCAGTTGAAGTCCACGAGTCATAAAAGAGTCAAGGTTGCCTACCCCTGGCCTAGGGAGTCATATGTCCACAATTCTGTACAACCGGAAGCAGCTTACTCTTAATGGGACAGAATCCCCATCTCTCATCTTTGCCATAATCCTGTGTGGTGGCACACCAGAGATGACCATCTCCACGTCCCATATTTGTACAGTCATGAAACCACTGATTATCGTACTTGAAGGGGATGGTGCAGGGCTTTCCATGAGAGTTGCCTTGAATAGTGTAAATTTCTGGAAAAAAGAGGAACACTATAGCTCATATTTGTCCTCTGCTAGAAAAAGGAGATGCTTATAATTTTGAACAAAAGGTTTGGCAACCAACAGTTTGTGATCCAGCTTAAGATTCTATAATTCATTTATGGATAGCTATAATCAGCCTATGCTGCCTAATTTCAAATTAATCCAACACTTTTTTAATTGCTAGAAGATTGTTCCAATCCATACATGACTGATCTCCCCCCCCCCCCCGCAATAGTCTCCCCACACACTCTCCAATAACATAATCTATAAATTCTGCATCAAGTGGAGAACAATACATTTAGGGTTTATCTGAAAAAAATCAACTCAATCCCTGGTAGTGTTAGCAAACATGCTACTTAATTAAGAAAAAAACATTTATTCCTGTCAAGAATGGTCATAGCTAAATACTGGGAAAGTAACTCCTATAATTCTGTTTATGATTTAGCAGTATCTGAACTTTCAGATACTGTTTTCAGAAAGCTTGCCATGTTCATCTTTTCTGAAAACAATCTTTTATGGAACTTTAAAAATTATCCAGTTTAATTACTGTTATATGTGATAAAAAATTGGTTAGACTAAGATGCCACAAAACTATGTTTGTGTTAATAGGTGGATTATAGATCACAGTAGATTAATACAAAATACAATTAAATGAGATTGATTCTTTGAAACATAGTTCTTCTTTATGTTCAAAGACAATGGAGGGCAATGAAGATTCTCCATATATTATTTAGGAAAAAATATACATATCTGTCTTATCAATTATAATTCCATACATATTACTAAAATGCTCTTATCCAAATTTGTTTTGCTTATTCATTTTTCATATTGCAAAATCAGTTTTAAAATTCTGCATTAGGATTGCCCAAATCCTAGACTGAGAGAAAGTAAATCCAAACTAAATAAATCTGCATTTATACATTTGTTTTGGAAAACATTTAGACCAGTGAATTTGCAATTTCCTGGTTCACTTTTTGGTGTCAGAGACTTCATGAAGTGTTGTTAATCTTCTATTTATCTTAAGAGAAACTTTATTTTACTGTTCTAATACAAGCTATACATCTTGGCATTATCAAATAACTAATTCTGTGCAACTGTAAAACTGTAAATATGTAGAAAGGTCTGCTGACAAAGTTTTGGATCCTGACTAAATTACTCACAGGTCCCACCATTCAGATAAATTAGTAGCATTCAGATCATTTGAAATCAAACTATTCGCTGAATATTCTATTCTGAATATTCTATTTAGAACATTCTATTTAGACTGAATTTAGTATAATAGCTGAGCCTGGACTGAAATCAGAGCAGAAACCACTACTTCATCATACAGCTGTTTCTCATACAAGCTAAAGCTCATTTTTGAAAGGTAAGAGATATTCAGAATGAATGGTGGTTGATGGCTTTGGAATTCATCCATCCTTTGAAAAAATGGAAAGCTAAATTGTAGTAAAAATCTTGAAATAGCAGATTGAATCTTTATATGTATTTTGGAAAACAGTAAAAATTTCTACAATTTATTTATTCAGGTTGATTTGGGGACAATAGATGAAACCTATGAAATGAATACTAGGAATCGTAGTGTATCTACGGTACACTATCAAAATTAGAATATAACAAGGTAGCCAATATTTTTAAAGTATTATTTCAACAGATTTATAATATGATTGGTAGCATTTATGAACAAACATTCTTAATTTAATTCAAATTACTGTTGAAGAGAATAGTTGGAATTGATGATGAATTCTCCTTTCATTTCAGTTTGAAAAAAAATCAATGAAAACAGGCAGGAGATTGTATTGTTTTGTATTTGGTTTTCTTCAAGGAAATCTATGATCAGAGAAATGGCAACTTTTCTATATTTGCTTTCTAAGATTTATAATGAACTATCAACAAATATTGCTCATAATTAGATATCTAAAGTGAATAGGACCAAAGCGGATTGAAAGCAACTTTCCTCATGTAAGAATTTACTATATAAACTAACTAATAATATGTTGTTATAACAACCAATACAGATTATCTTTACTAAAAAAATTAAGTAGGAGATTATCATTTAAGTCAGATAGGGATTGGCTGCCTATATTACTAAACTGCAATTCCCAATAACTCTAGCCTGCAGGGCTAAAATTAAGGGATTTTGGGAACATCCAGAAGCCCAGAAATTACCCTTTAATTGCTATAGCAATGATCTGATAATGCTTGGACAATCAAAGTTTAATGCTGCCGATCACCATCTTGCTCTACTTTCAAGATACAAAGGCAGCTAGATGGTTGGCTACTGGAAGAAAAATGCTAAATTACATAACTTGAACTCATAAGATGTACTACTATTAGCCTGTAATCATGAGACTCAATGATATCTGTTAATATTTTTTTGCTAATAATTTTAATAAAAAGATCTAAAAAGATATTAAATTTGGATAGTGCAGAATAAAATTTTAATTATGAGATTTGCAGTGATAAGAAACAACAACATTAATCTTCTAATGTGGGTTTTACCAGAGTATGGCCTAGAGCATAAATCTTCATCATGGCCATAGATCTTCCATTGGCCTCCACGAGCCTGGTCACCTCTCTCAGCTGGTGTCAGTGACCAGTTCCCCAACCTTGAGCTCAAATACTGGGAAAGCTGGTCCCCTAGACTCCGACAATTCCACCGCATGTTGACAGATTCACGGTCACATTCATAAGTGGCCAATGCATGGGTGGTGGCACTGCTGTTTGCAGACTTCCAAGAGACTCCCAAGCACTGCTTGTTTCCAATATTGAAAAGCCGATTCCTGGAAACCCATTTCCACTTCTGAGCATGAAGACTTGCATTACAGATCTTAGAAATTTTCACCAAAGAGTCCTTTGTTTCCAAGCAGCTCTGCAGACCACTGTTATAGATGAGAAATATCCCAGAGTCTGAGAAAATACAAATAAACAACAACAAATATTACTTTAGCTACTGAAGGTAAAAAACAGCAAGAACTATTTAGTGAAAGCTGGGATATATCATGGTTGATGTATTTACAAATAGCCAGAAAGATAAAATCAGATCTCAAAAAGGAAACAGGGATATTAAGGAAAAAAATGTGAAATTCATACAAAATCAGCAGTATCAATTAGGATACTTATATATAAACATTTACCTAATATGACAGAGAAATAGAACACAAACAAAATCTGTGTGGGAAAATGGATGAAAATTTTCAAAGAAGCAGATACCATAGAACAATGGAAAGAATTATGAAATAATCTATTATACTCACATCAAACCATAATTTCAAAGAAAATTCACACACACATACAGACTGGTCAGATGTTTCAACCAAAAACCATGCAGTTCATCTTCACCTGGTATTGATCAATTCTTTATCTTTCTTGCTCTTTTCTCCAGCATTTCTGCTGATATTACAAGTTCCTTCATTTCAGCTTTTTTTCCTTCACCCCTTCCTTTATTCAAGCTACATTCTTGTATTTCTTTGAGTTGCCTATCTATCTGCTGATTTTCTTGGCTATGGCGGTTACTTGCTGATTTATAATTTCCAATGTTTCCTTGATCTTCCTTGTCTGTAGGGCTGTTTCCAAAGGAGGCAGAGGAGGAGAGGTCCCGGGTCTTATGGAACGAAGGAGCTGGATGAGGCTGTCAGCAGGCCCAGAGGAAGAGAGAGAGGCTTTTGGAGGAGTTGGTGGTGGCGGCAGCGTGCTCCAGGGGCAAAAAGGAGCGAGGCCTCTTTTAGGGAAAGGTGGAAGAGTCAGGATCAGAAAAAGGAAAGGAGGCGAGGTTGTCGTGCAGGAATACAAGCTAATTTGAGGACTAATCCACATGGAGCTCCATTTCCATCTGTCCTGTTTGCCGTTGTTCGCTCCCTAGAGACTAAAATGGACAATCTGAAACTTGAGCTGGCCATGAACAAAGAGTGTATATCAGAGGTAGTGACCCTTTGAGAGCTGTATGCAACGAAATTTCATTTTGATGTATGCCGATTGGTGTACATTCAAAGTGACAATAAAATAATAATAATAATATTACTATTATTACTATTATTATTATTATTATTATTATTATTATTATTATTATTATTATTATTATTATTATTATTGATCATCGCACAGTTAGCCAAATGTTCAGACTGGATTTGGCATTTTGTCTACCTATCGAGTCTTTACCAAGGACCTGGGATAGGCAGATGTGGATGTTTGATGGTATATTACAGATATCGTCGCAGGATGGAAGCAGTTCCTAGTAAGGCCACCTGTTGCAATTGACTAATGGCAAATTTGTCAGTGCCAATGGTGTTCAAGTGGTGCTCCATATGTTTTGGGATTGCACCCAAGGCGCCTATTACTATTGGTACTACCCTTGCTTGCTTTTGCCACAATCTTTCTATTTCTATTTGTAGGTCTTTGTATTTTGTTATCTTCTCCAGTTCTTTCTCGTCTATTCTGCTGTCTCCAGGCACTGCCACATCCACTATCCAGACTTTTTTGTCTTTTTTATCGACAATTGTTAAGTCCGGTTGTCGTTGTCGTCATCATCATCATCATCATCATCACCCCCCAGTGGAACAACCTGCCTCCAGAAGCAGTAAATGCTCCAACACTGGAAGTTTTTAAGAAGAGACTGCAAAGCCATTTGTCCAAAATGGTATAGGGTTTCCTGCCTGAGCAGGGGGTTGGACTAGATCAGGGCTTTTCAACCTTTTCACCCATTGTGCCACTTTTAGGTACATCCGAGTACCACCAGTCGCCTAGCAAGGTGTCAAATACTTGACCAAAAAAAACAAAAACAGAAAAAAGTGATAAAGTACAGGCAGTCCTCGACTTACAACAGTTCGCTTAGTGACTGTTCGAAGTTACAATGGCACTGAAAAAAGTACCCCCCAAGCCACAGCCAAGCAAGATACCTGCCTGCCCGCCCGGCCGCACTCTTCCTCCTGTCTGAGGTTTTCATTGTTGTGAGCATTTCTGTTGAGGATTGGCAGCGGGGGTGGGGTAGGGGGGTGTTTGGTTTTTATTCCCCCCCTCTGCTGGGTGGTTGCAGCAGGTTTTGGTCACTTCACATGACCCTGGCACACTGTGACCGTCATAAATATGAATCAGTTGCCAAGCATCTGAATGTAAATCACAAGACCCTGGAGATGCTGCAACATTCCAGCTGATCAGTGCTTCTTCTGGGCTCAGCAGAAGTGCCAGGATCAGTGCCGAGTTCCAGCTGGAGCCTGGCATTGATCCTGATACTTCCGCTGAGCCCAGACAGCCCTGCAGCTCCAACCATCTCTTGCTCAGACTTGTGTGGTGCTGCCACCAGTTCAGCTCATTCCCCTCCCCCGCTACCACTTTTCTAGGATGGTCGCGTACCACCTGCCAGGTGCCAATGTACCACTCATATCACTGGTTGAAAAGCCTTGGACTAGATGACCTCCAAGATCCCTTCCAACTTTTATTATTATTATTATTATTATTATTATTATTATTATTATTATTATTATTATTATTATTATTATTATTATTATTATTATTATTATTATTATTTTATGGATTGGGCGTTCTATGGTGTTCTTGTTCTTCAGCTTTTCATTTGTTCTAACTTGCTTGCATCTGATCTCAGGACGCTGATCTTATTTTCTAACCTGACTTCCATTTTGGATTTTTTTTTCTTGTTTGTTGATTTTGCATCCAAGAGCTTCAGTTGTAACTGCTGCTGTGCAGTTAGTTTGTTAGTTTTCTCAGTTAGTTTTTTGAAGTGGTGCTTATATTTCATACTATAGTAGTGGCATCTTTTAATATCTGTGCTAGCTATGGTTTTTTTATAACATGATTCAATGCAGGTAACCTTATTCTGTTGTTTTTGTGCTGTTCTAGATGCTCAATAATTTTTCATTTCAGTGCCTCTTGTTTTTCAGTTACAGAAATTTGTTCTTTCTGAACTGAAAGTACAGGAGATGGTGCCCGGTTTGGGAATGAAAATGGTTCAATAGCAATGCTGGCTTCCTCTAGTACTGACTCCCTCTGATTTGTCTCTATTATCTAAGCTACTTCTAGCTTTGATTTTGCTCTTGCAATTCTATTTCTAGGAATACTTTCTTTCATATTATATATCAACATTGAGCTGCTAGCTTATGTACTGTTTCTGGATGATGTTCTTTCAAAACTGGTGTTTTCTTTTCAGATATCTTCTTCTTGTTGCACTTGGTTTCTAATAGCAAATAATTATTTCTTTGTTTTCAATCTCTGTATATTTGCAACAGGTAAGCCATTTTTTTTTTCAGCTAGTCCTTAACTTCTGGCCCTGGATTCTTGGCTAACTGTCTTGAGTCCTGTATCTCACTTGTCACTAGATGTTCAGAAATTCCTACACGTAGCATGGCCCATGTTGCCCCAGGCAATGACTGATCTGGTATAGTTTTCTTTAACTTATGTCTCATCATATTGTTTATGTAAGAGACGCTCTTCACCTGACTCCTCCAGAATAATTGAACTTATGGCATAGCTCTCAGGGCCCCACAATCATATCAAAGTAATGCCTCATTGGAGGTTACTATTAATATTATGGTTAGTTGCACAGTCATCCAGAAGTTTAAACTAGATGTGTCATTGTTACCCACCTATCAAGTCCTTTCCAAGAATCTGGAATCAGCAGATATTGTTGTTTGATGGTATTAAAGATATAGTCACAGGATGTAAGTGGCTCCAAATAAAGCTGCCTTTTGCAATTGACTGATGGTGATTTTATCAATACTTTTGGTGTTCAAGTGGTGCTCCAATTGTTTTGGGATTGCACCCTAAGTGCCTATTACTACTGGTATTGTCTTTACTTTCTTTTGCCAGTTGTTTTATTTCTATTTGCAGATCTTTGTATTTTGTGATTTTCTCCAGTTTGTTCTCTTTTCTTCTGCAGTTTCCAGGAACTACATCTACTATTCAGACATTTCTGTCTTTCTCAACAACAATTGTTAAATATGGGGACTTATATGATAGGAGTTTGTTTGAATTTTAAGGACCCAGAGCACATTAGCTTCTTCATTTTCTATTACTCCCACCCGGCAAGAAGTATTTATTGCAAATATTGCAATGCATCATTTTTCTACTTGTGCAGATTTTTTATACTTGTGCAATCCAAGATTTTGGGACATAGATCCCATTGTATTGATAACCTCTGGGAATATGATATGCCATGATCTTTCAATTTTGATTTCCAGAGCTTGATACTTTGTGGTCTTCTCCAATTCTTTTACTTCTGTTCCATTATCCCTCCTATTGCCACATCAAAGACAGTTATATCTGGTGTTTTATGAACAAGACTTTATCAGTCTGTACTCAGAAATCCTGTAATATTTTAATCTGCTCATTTTCCAGCCTCAGATAGTCATATTTTAATCTGCTCATTTTCAACTATGGATCGTCCTCATTTAATGATTGGTCACCTAGCAACCATTCAAAGTTGTGACAAACCGCGCAGAGCTACTTACAACCCATTTTTGAAGTTTCAATGGGCACATAATCCCCCCCACACACAGTCACAGGATCACATTTTGAATGCTTTGCAACTGGCCTGCATTTACAGCTTTTGCAGCATACCATAGTCAGGTGATTGTGATTTCTGGTGTTTTTTGCCCATTTCTGGCGTTTATTTCTAGTTTCCAGCAAAAAGCTGGAAACAGTGCCACATTCACGTAATGACCACTGCAAAAAAGATCGTAAAATTGAGTCACATGATTTACTACCATAACTTTGGGCTCAATTATAGTCATAAGTCAAGGAGTCATAAGTCATTATATTCATAAGTCAAGGAGTATCTATACTTTTTCAACCCTGCGTTCCCAACAATTTTTCATTACTGATATATAATAATTTTACAGCGGTTCCACTGAATCATTTTGGCAACATTATTTGTATCAATTAACGAGATCTTACACAAG